AGTAATTTGGGGGGGGGGGGGTGCTTCCACTATCCAGGCATTTTAGGGCCAACATTAGAAGCTTATGCTACATACCACCCACTCTTCTAACCATTTCAAGTCCAAGCTTATTCTGACACATCTTTTTAAAGAAGAGGCCCTAGACAATGGGTGTTGCAATCTCACAAAGTATTTGCACAGTGATTTTTCAAATGAACAATTTTTGGAAAAAATACACAATATATTGCGCAATTTTTAAAAAATATATACAGTAAAAGATGATGTCACATTGAGTAAATAGATGGCAAACATGACATGCTTTAAAATTCTGCACGCCCATTGCAAGGGACCACGGGGGAGTTTAATTATCTATTTTGCTTCTTTTTTGTGTTTACGTTGTCCCTTTTATTTTTTTATCACTTTTAATGTTATCACAGGGAATGTAAATATCCTCTGTCATAGCAATAGACAGTGACAGGTACTCTTTTCTGAGAAATCTGGAGTCTATTAGACGCTAGATCCCTCCTCTACCCTTAAAGCATCTGCGCACACTAAGATCGGTGTGATCAGATGCTTTACCAATTTAAAAGCGGCGCTGTTTATATTCGGCGAAACCAAAATGATGAAATGCTTGTTGCTTCTGGTTTCTTAGACCATAGAGATGATTGGAGCCATTCTGGTCTCTGATCAGCACTATGGTTATCCAATGGAACTTCCGGCTGCTTTCTCTGGTTAAAGGACAAGAGAGCCAGAGAAAGCCATGGAAGGTGGTGGGAGGGGCGCATTTCTTCCTGCTGCTTTTAAAAGTGATCCAGTGGATAATTAGCATCTAGGATTGCTTTTACATGAAAGCTGACCACCAGCAGAAAAAAACTATACCAGGATGATGTCTATAGCTGCAGACATCATCCCGGGTATAACCACTCAAAGTCCAGCGACGTACCAGTATGTTGCTAGTCGTTGTTGGGCATACATGTAATGTTCTTTTTTTTTTTATGAGTGTTATTACTGAAATGCATGAAGCACAAACTATCGTCTCATATCTATGCCTGGCTATGGCAGCAGAGAACATGGGCATATGATGAATTGGGTCTGTGGACCAGTATGATCGCAGTTCATTCTTTTTTGTAACACCCATGTTGAGGGTTAGGCCCAAAAAAATTTTACATTCGGAAACCATGATAGGTTTCCATGTGAACTGTCTGGCATGAGCTGAATTTGGGTGGGCGGTGATGTTGTGCGTATAAATTGATTTGGCCCAAAATCAATTGATACAAATCTTCTGTGAAAAAAAAGTGGCTAAACACTAGTGCTGGCAGTGAATGGGGCTGATACTGCTAATGCTGCGCTTTTCGGGACGCTATACTAAGGGGGCACTAGTATACAGTAGTTCTGTTCGTGAAAAATATATTGATCCGTACTAACACTATACTAGTAATAGCGGTGATCAGTGAACTGACCCTAGCTGGGAGGGTCACTAACTTACCCTGACACTATCTGATGTTGCTAGTGGCAGTAATACAGTGATCAATAAACAATTATATATACTGATGCTGTACTTATGGCACTGGCTGGGTGACAGGGGCGATCAATGTGTTAAATGTGCTAACCTAACGTGTGTGTGTAAAATGTAGTGCTTTTACTCACAGTGAGGTGTTCTCTCTCCTCTCCCTGGACCAACAGAGAAAGCAGCGGGAGGCGCACACATGCACGCTCACACCTGGAAATACAAAGCGATGTAAGGGTACGTCACTTTGCCCAGAGTTGCTGCTCACCTGCATAGTATTGAAAAAAAACTTAAAAAACAATTTTTTTCTCAATATTTAATTTTTTTTTAACATTACTTTCATCAGAGTAGTTCAATATTACCATAGTAAAATTATTCTATTCTGGGGGGGGGTGGGAGGTGATCAGAGATTTTTTTCTTTTTTTTTTCTTGCATTGCATTGCTTCTACAATGCAATGCTTGCTTTGAACTATCATGAATGGGTTAAGTTCATTGGTTCAAAATACTAGTGATCCTCGGGCCATAAATATCCGAAATGCACAGCCCGAGGACCTCATAAATATGCAGCAGTGCAACTTGCTGTGTTCGCCAAAAAATAAACAAATGAAGTATTATTTTTATCATGGACTGTCCTGACCACCGAGCTCTGACTAAGGCCACATGAATATGCATGACATCTTAAAGGCAGAAGCACGTCAGATATTGTTTGAGAAGATATGAATTGGCACCCCAAGGGAGATCCCTGTGGATGGAGGCTGTAGTGATACCTTGGATGGTCTGATCATTTATGCTGGTGTATTTGGATTGGAGGTGAGGTGAGCCTGGAGGGAGCACAAGGTGTTTGGAATCACAAATAGCATTTGTGTGATTCACAACTGCTGGATATAACCTATTCACTGATAACAGGAGCATAATATAGCTGAGGAATTGTATAAATGGACTGCACTATGAACTTTATTGTTTGATTTGAGTTTTAATATAGCAGTTTACGTGCACAATTTAATATCGATGATGCCTTATGCAATTTAGATTTTCCAGTTATTATAGATGCACTTTCAATTTTATTTACTGTTTACACATCATTATTGACTGTCAGCAGTGCCACACTGTTTTCAAATATATACTGTACCCTGTATGTTGCTGATGCTACATAAAGTTTATACAGAGCTATCAGCAAGCGAATGTATTAGTGAAGAGAATAGCTTGGTCCAAACAAACTAAAGTTATGATTATTTAGAAGGTAAAAATAAAAAAAAAAATCCAACATCTTGCACAGTACTTACTTGCTCTGTGAAATCGTTTTGTCCAGAGCAGCCCCAATCCTCCTCTTCTCAGGTCCCCGCTCCTAGCTCCTTCCCCTTGCCAAGTGCCCCCCGAACAAGATGTTTACTATGGGGGCACTCATGCCTGCTTGAGCTGGTTCACAGACAGAGTACAGCATATAACCCCACCTCGTTCCTTCCTTACTGGCTGTGATTGAAAGCAACGGGAGCCAATGGCTCCCACTGCTTTGTCTGAGCCAATAAAAAGGAAGAGAGCAGGGAGAGTCGCTGCTCTTGTGCACATCGCTGGATCCAGATCAGGCTCAGGAAAGTATTAGGGGAGCTGGGGAGGCTGCACACTGAGGGTTTTTACCTTCATACATAGAATGCATGAGAGTAAAAAACCTTCAGCCTTTAACCACTTTAAAATCAAGTTAAACTTTAAGAGTAGCTGCTTAGCTGATATGGAGCTTCCCTGGCTTTCTATGTACATGATCTCCACAGACTGCCTTACTTGGAATGATAGCAAATTTCCCCTTCAAAAGCAGCACTTTTTACTTAGCTTTGACACTCTTGACTACTAAAGCAACAATTCACAACCTTAGCTTTGACACTCTTAACTCCTGAAGCAATAATTCACAACCTTATCAGTGACACATTTCTATATTGACCGAATTACTCTGGCTGACTGGCAACTGGCAGTAAGTCCCTATACTGGTGTGTTTAAGATTGTTAAAGGGGAACTATAATGTATTTACAATGAGCACATACTTTAGGTTATTATTGCAGTGGTCTCACTGTGTGACTTTCATATTTTTAGAAGACACCGCAGGGGTTAATAAATGAGAGAACTGATATGGAAGTAGGAGGCAGAGAGTAAGTAGAGAGAGACTGATGATAAGACTGCTGAATGTTGCACCTGTTTCATACACATACCAGAATACTCTACTGCTAGCTGGGCCATGTGGTGCTACTGTGTTTGGACTCCACTTCCACTGAAGTTTTCCTGGGTGAAGTACAGTAAGCCCTTTTCTCCTAACAAGACTACAGTACATTAACCTGAAAAGAAGCCTTTGCATTCTCTGTTGTGGAAATTGACTTTTATTTACATTATATTGCCAAAAGTATTAGGATGCCTGCCATTACACGCATATGAACTTTAACCCCTTTGCACCGGTCGCACGCAAATGTGCGGCCGCCCGGCATCTGGACCTAGACGACGAGCGGCCGCACATTTGCGTCCATGTAACTAAATACATATGTGCTGAGAGCGCACGCCCTGCGCGCTCCCAGCACACATGTGTAGTACTCACGGAAAGGCCCCGCTCCGCTCTTTCGAACGGGACCTTTCCTGATCATGTGACCACTGTGACGCGTCATCACGGCGGTCACATGATTCCTAAACCACGCCCCCACTGCCCCGCCTCCCGGCGTCAGAATCTCTTAAAGGGCCGGGGGAGGCGGCGGCGTCAAGGGGTTAATGGCATCCCAGTCTTAGTCCATAGGGTTCAATATTAAGTTGGCCTACCCTTTGCAGCTATAACAGCTTCAACTCTTCTGGGAAGGCTGTCCACAAGGTTTAGGAGTGTGTCTATGGGAATGTTTGACCATTCTTCCAGAAGTGCATTTGTGAGGTCAGGCAATGATGTCACATGAGAGGGCCTGGCTCACAGTCTCCACTTTAATTCAACCCAATGGTGTTCTATCAGGTTGAGGTCAGGACTGTCAAGTTCCTCCACCCCAAACTCTCCCATGTCTTTATGAACCTTGCTTTGTGCACTGGTGCGCAGTCATGTTGGAACAGGAAGCGGTCATTCCAAAACCATTCCCACAAAGCTGGGAGTATGAAATTGTTCTTGGTATGCTGATGCCTTAAGATTTCCCTTCACTGGAACTAAGGGGCCAAGCCCAACCCCTGTAAAACAACCCCACACCATAATCCCAACTCCACCAAACTTTACACTTGGCACAATGCAGTCAGGCAAGTACCGTTCTCCTGGCAAATGCCAAACCCAGACACATCCATTGGATTGCCAGACAGAGAAGCACGATTCATCACTCCAGAGAACACACCTCCACTGCTCAAGAGTCCAGTTGCGGTGTGCTTTACACCACTGCATCCGATGCTTTGCATTGCACTTGGTGATGTAAGGCTTAGATGCAGCTGCTTGACCATGGAAACCCATTCCATGAAGCTCTCTACGCACTGTTGTGCTAATCTGAAGGCCACATGAAGTTTGGAGGTTTTTAGCTATTGACTCTGCAGACAGTTGGTGACTTCTGCGCACTGTGCTCTTCAGCATGTGCTGATCCCGCTCTGTCATTTTACGTGGCCTGAGTTGCTGTTGTTCCCAGTTGCTTCCACTTTGTTAAAATACCAATCACAGTTAAGTTTGGAATATTTAGTAGCAAGGAAATGTCACGGATGAACTTATTGCACAGGTGACAATCATGGTACCACTCTTGAATTCACTGAACTCCTGAGAGTGACCCATTCTTTCACAAATGTTTGTAGAAGCAATCTGCATGCCTAGGTGCTTGATTTTATACACCTGTGGCCATGGAGGTGATTGGAGCACCTGAATCCAATGATTTGGAGGGATGCTCCAATACTTTTGGCAATATAGTGTAGCTGCCAAGCATTCTAATGCAGGCCATAGATGGGTCGAAAATCGGCCGATTTTTCAGCCGAAAATAAAATCAGCCGATTTTCTGATCGTTAGTGGGCTAATTGTTTGGCCATTTTTCAGTATTTTGGCAGATTTTTTTTATCGGTAAAGTTGGAAAAAAATTGGCCGATTCTGCCGATCGCCCGATTTTCCCGGCAATGATGGGCAAATCGGCCGATCTTTTTACCGATAAAAAAATCTGCGCATGAGCAATGACCTGCAAGAGGAAGACAAAAAGAAGAAGAAAAAAGAAGAAGAGGATGAAGAAGAGGAAGCGGAAGAAGAAGAGGATGAAGAAGAGGAAGAAGAGGAAGAAGAAGAAGAGGAGGAAGAAGAAGAATAGGAAGAAGAGGATGAAGAAGAGGATGAAGAAGAGGATGAAGAAGAAGAAGAAGAAGAGGATGAATAAGAGGATGAAGAGGATGAAGAAGAGGAGGAAGAAGAATAGGAAGAAGAAGAGGATGAAGAAGTAGAATAGGATGAAGAAGAGAAAGAAGAAGAGGATGAAGCAGAGGAAGAAGAAGAGGAAGAAGAAGAGGATGAAGAAGAAGAAGAGGATGAAGAAGAAGAAGAAGAGGATGAAGAAGAGGATGAAGAAGAAGAGGATGAAGAAGAGGAAGTGGATGAAGAAGAGGATGAAGAAGAAGAAGAAGAGGAAGAAGAGGAAGAAGAGGATGAAGAAGAGGATGAAGAAGAAGAAGAGGAGGAAGAAGAGGAAGAGGATGATGAAAAGGAAGAAGAGGATGAAGAAGAAGGAAGAAGAAGAGGAGGAAGAGAAGAAGAAGAATAGGAAGAAGAGGATGAAGAAGAAGAGGATGAAGAAGAAGAAGAGGATGAAGAAGAGGATGAAGAAGAGGAAGAAGAAGAGGAAGAAGAGGAAGAAGAAGAGGAAGAAGAGAGAGGATGAAGAAGAAGAAGATGATGAAGAAGAAGATGAAGAAGAGGATGAAGAAGAAGGGGATGAAGAAGAGGAGGAAGAGAAGAATAGGAAGAAGAAGAATAGGAAGAAGAAGAGGATGAAGAAGAAGAATAGGAAGAAGAAAAGGATGAAGAGGAGGAAGGATGAAGAGGAGGAAGAAGAAGAGGAGGATGAAGAAGAGGATGAAGAAGAAGAAGAAGAAGAGGATGAAGAAGAGGAAGAAGAAGAGGAAGAAGAGGATGAAGAAGAAGAGGAGGATGAAGAAGATGAAGAAGAGGATGAAGAAGAAGAAGAGGATGAAGAAGAGGAAGAAGAAGAAGAGGATGAAGAAGAGGATGGAAGAGGATGAAGAAGAGGAAGAAGAAAGAACAAGAAGAGGATGAAAAAAGAAGAAAAGAAGAATAGGAAGAAGAGGATGAAGAAGAAGAAAAGGATGAAGAAGAGGATGAAGAAGAGGATGAAGAAGAGGAAGAAGAAGAGGAATGAAGAAGAGAGGAAGAAGAAGAAGAGGATGAGAAGAGGAGGAAGAAGATGAAGAAGAGGAGGAAGAAGAAGATAAAGAGAGGGTGAAGAAGAAGAAGAGGATGAAGAAGAGGAGGAAGAAGAAGAATAGGAAGAAGAAGAGGATGAAGAAGAGGAGGAAGAAGAAGAATAGGATGAAGAAGAGGATGAAGAAGATGAAGAAGAGGATGAAGAATAAGAGGAAGAAGAGGAAGATGAAGAAGAAGAGGAGGAAGAAGTAGAAGAAGAGGAAGAAGAAGAGGAATTCCAGTCCTGCAAAAAATCTCCCTGCAGAGAGCTCCGCTATTTCTTTGACAGTTCCTTGACATTTATAGCGCTTGCAACAATGTATCTATTTGTTTCCGAATAAAAACATCTGTATCCTAAATGGATACAAATACATTGTTGCAACCGCTATAAATGTCAAGGAACTGTCAAAGAAATAGCGGAGCTCTCTGCAGGGACACTTTTTGCCGGCTGTAGACAGGATGAAAATTGGCCGATTTTTTTTTTACCGTTGCTGGTAACGTCGGCCGCTTGAACGACCGATTTTTCGTTTTTTAAAGAAAAATCGTCCGATGTTCGACCCATCTATGGCCTGTACCGCCTCTGCCGCCCCCCTCCTCCCGCATTCCTCCTTCCCCCTCGCCCCCACCAGCACAAAACGCAAACCCCGCCCATAAGTTTAATAAAGTGCTATGTTGTCCAAACACACTAGTTTCCTATGATCCTGCAGATTCCCTTCACCATCACAGTGCATACAGAAGGATTGCTTTTTGTAGGGATGACAGACTGCTGTTGGCTGTGCTGATCACTGCCTGATGAATTTGTGGATTAAAAAATCTCATGTGTATTATCATGTTGTGTTCACATGTTTTATAGAGATATACTATGTACTTTTTTTCTATTTCTAAATTATGGTGAGCAGGTTACAACAGGTTCCAAACAATATTTTGTTTTGCAAATGTAAAGGCATGAAAATCAATATGACGAGGTAGTGACATTTCTCCCTTTTCACCTAAGAAGAATTAATTTAGTAATATTTGAAGCCAATACAGAGCAATAGCTTATTGTGCAACATTGAATGTCTGGAACTGAAGGTGGAGTCACTCAGACAAATGTTGTTAAATACACTGAGTTCCAATTATGGAAGTTTGAAATGCAATAATTACAATGGTTTTAAAACAATGTAATTGTCATGAAGCATTTAGAGCAAAGCCATAAAAACAAGTAGCAAGAAGATTTAGGGAAAAATTCCAGTTTAAACTTTTTTTTTATGTTGAATAGAGTGGAGAAGTATGAATAACTAGGTCAGGATTTTTTGTTGACACCACTGGAAAAAACCTGCATGTTCTTTCCTAGTTATATCAGAGAAATCTCTTCAATAGGAATCTTCCATGCACATGTTTTTGTACTTTGAGGACTGTTGCAGCACACTGTATTAGGAAGCCGATTAAAAATGCAACATACCTCAACGAATGAAAAAATAGTGCGTGCTGAGTGAATAGGCCCCTCCTATATATTATTGACTGTACTAGGCATTATCACCCAAACCGTCCTCTCTACTCCTCCCAAGACCTCCTGCTCTCCAGTTCCTCCCACATTCACCTCCAGGACTCCTCCAGAGCCTCGCCCATCCTCTGGAACTCCCTGCCCCAGTATGTCCGGTCATGCTCCTAGCCTGTCCACCTTTAAGCGATCCTTGAAAACTCATTTATTCAGGGAAGCGTACCTCACCACCACCTAAGAACTGTACTTAAGTCACCTCCATCAGGTCAGCCCCTACAGCTATTACCTTTTATATCACCTCCCCATCCCTTTAGATTGTCAGCTCCATGAGCAGGGCCCTCCTATTCCTTCTGTATTGAACTGTATTGTAATTGTACTGTCTCCCTTTATATTGTAAAGTACTGCATACATTTTTGGAGCTATATAAATCCTGTATAATAATAATATTAGGTATTATACCTATTTTACTAAAATTTTACATTAGCCAAAAAGGGACATCCCCCTCCTAAAACCCCATATGCATCCCTGGTCATTAAATGGAGCGCAACTACCTGATACAACCACTTTTGCAATGAAGGTCAGTGCAAGTGCCCTGTTACATACAGGATATGGTCATTGTACAATGTAAATGGCAGGATAGTTTATGTATGCCTGGAGATGGGCTTTAATGTTTAATTAATGTGATTCTAAAGGCCCAAGGTTTTTTACCTTCATGCATTCTATACACGAAGGTAAAAAACCTTCTGTGTGCAGCACCCCCCCCCCCCCCAAATCCTTACCTGTGCCCCCTCTGATCCAGCGATGTTCTCGACAGCCTGAGCTGTTTGGGGACTTTTCCTCCTCATTGGCTGAGACAGCAGCAGAAGCCCATTGGCTCCCACTGCTATCAATTACAGCTAGTGAGCCAATGAGGAGAGAGCAGGGGTGGGGCCGAGCCGACTTATGGACACATAGAGCAGCAGCTCAGGTGCCTCCTGGGTGAGAACCTTTCCCAAGGGGCACTGATTGAGTGGGAGGAGCCAGAAGTTTTGTGAGGGACCCGAAAAGAAGAAGGATCAGTGCTGCTCTGTTGAAAACCACTGCACAGAGTAGGTAAATATAGACATGGTTATTATTTTAGAAAAAAAAACCAAAGCTTTAGTGTCACTTTAACCACTTTGGGGCAGTACATTGTGGGTAGGCGGCAGCAGCAGGACCAGGTTTACTTCCTGGTTTGGAGCGCGCATGCGTGCCCCCCCCCCCCCCCCGCTGACCCCTGCTATCATTCGCTGTTGGAGATGCATGTCAACAGGTCTTGGCCAAGGATTTTGGCTGAGAGTCTGAGGATCTCCTGCAGCAAATGGAGAAGCAGAGCTGTGCCTATGTTTGTAAATACAGGTACATGATCTAGCTCCATCTTCTCTCCTGGAACCATTATTTTCCAGGGGAGAAGATAGAGACACCACACGTGAGTAAAAGCAGCACACTGCACCCACACACTTTAGATAGAGACATTTTAACCCCTTGATTGCCACATTAACCCTTGAAATTGCCCCCTGTCACTCTGCCAGTGCCATTAGTACATTGCCAGTGTACAGTATTTTTCACTGATTACTATATTAGTGCCACTAGCGACGTAAGATAGCGTCAGAGTTAGTTAGTGCCCCCCCCCCCGGGTCACCTAGCGTTAGACTGCTCGCACACTATCGCACTTACGATATACGTGGCTGATCACCGTCATTACTATTTTAG